AATCTCCCTAATCCCTCCCCCCTTTTTCCAATCCTAGAATATACAACATTCCTCAAATTTTTAATCCCCAAAAGGTCTGTAACGCACTTGTAAGGCCTCTTGTGTTCCAGGTATCCATGGGCGACGCCAATTGCTTACCTTGCTTATTGCTTACTGCAAGAGATCTGTCTGATCGTTTCATAAAAACATAATTATTTAGTAATGGAAGATTAACCACTTCCAATCATTTAAATAACAAATCTATCACAAAAAAGCATTTAACTAAAAATATTGATTTACTCACGTAGATATGTATAGGCAGGTACTGAGAAAAGCTCTACTAGTTTCGAGTCACACAGGGACTCTTCCTCATGTGTAAACGCAGCAATGACAATACGCAGCCTACTCATTTACGCGTTTATTTTTAGTTACGATAGTTAATATAAAAAAGGTCATATCCACACGTCATTGTATCATTAACACATTAAACAACAATGATATTACAAAAGTAACGTACGGGACCTTAATATGAGATTTAACAATATAATTATCAGAAGATAATAATATGAGACCAAGTTACATCATGTGAGACAAAAATAATTACTAAAGAATAGCTTACCGTTATGTTACGGTGTAATCTATAAGAGATCACCGTTTTAGAACTGATTTTTTTTTAATTAAATGTATTTAAAAACTTCAATATATGGGGATGTTCAAAAAAGTGCAATTACTTAGGTATTTAATATTGCCGCTTCGTAGACAGATTACAAACTCCCAAATCTCCCCTATCCCTCGCTCCCTCCCCAATCTTCCCAATCCCTCCCCCTTTTCCCAATCCTGGAATATCCAATAATCCTCAAATTCTTAATTCCCAAAAGGCCAGTAACGCACTTGTAATGCCTCTGGTGTTCCAGGTATCCATGAGCGACGCCAATTGCCTTAGAACTACTGCACAGAATCTATCTGCCTACTGTCCGCGTTGCTAGCGTTGTGGTGATAGCTTAGGCCCTAAGCTATTCTGCTCCTTGCATCGTACTTGCTCCATTACAAGGGCAAAAGGGCGGTGATTCAGCCCTTCTTAAACTTTAAATTACTTAATGACTCATGAGATAATAGCTTATCCAATCGCTCTTAACATACACCAAACAATATATTATGCAACCATGGTTGTCAGTTTTCGGCTCACGGCAAACGCAACGTGCAGTCAGGAGTTCAATGCCACGGTCGGTCATATTATGAGGTCAAATCTTACGTAAACTTTAATTGGCTGAGATGAGCACGTTTTTTACAATCGAGATGAGTTATATAATGAACCGTTAAGATTTCTTAGTAAGTTTAAGTTAGTTAAATTGGTATAGTATGAGAGATGAGCGATATACTAATTATGAGTGTAATGGTAAATTGATGTTTGGATTGTATTATCTGAGCTAATGTAGTGAAGCTAAAGACGGAGCCTCGAAGGAGTTAAAGGATTGCCGGGGCTCCGGCTTGAAGTGCAGGAACGGGGTGGTTTTAGTCAGTTAGTCTGACACTCCCTCTCGCCTCACCCAGGCGGGAGAAGTCATTGGATGATATTACCCCGAAAAAAAGTGAATCTAAAAGTTTATGTGTTTAAGCAGTCGAATAAGAAGAATATACCAGTCTTGCATAGGATTGAAATTATGCTAAGAATTTGAAATTATACCCAATAATTGTCGCGCAGAACCTAACGGGTTACCGGGGCTCCGGCTCGACGTGCAGGAGAAGGAACGGGGTGGTTTTTAGTCAGTAAGAGTCTGACACTCCCTTCCGCCTCACCCAGGCGGGAGCAGTCATTCGATGATTTCCCCCCTCTTAAAAAAACCCAATAATTAATTGGATGAAATTAGATTACCCTTCTCAGATTTTCTTATCTTTATACTGGGCAATAGGGGGTAGAATTTTACTACATTTATGTAAAAACGAAGTGAACAGTTAATTTGTCGTTCGATCGTAAAAAAAGATACATAACTATAGTGAACTTGATCCGTCGAAAATTATTTATTTTGTGATCCGGTACAAAATCAACATTCATTTATATAGGTGCTGTATCAAAACAAAGAACAAGAGAATTAATGAAACATTAAAATAAAATTCAGTATGTGACGGAATTTATGATATTTTTATGGAAAACCCTGAACCTATGCTCCACTGTTAGCGGGTTTACATGGAATAAGACTATGAATGAAAATATCATTCAATTGTGCATAAGGCTAAAAGACAGACGAACAACTAAGCCAATTGTGTAAAAAAAATAATAGCGTCTTTTATTTAACTTCAGTTATTTCTTAAGTTTTCATTTTTTTATGGCATAAGCCGGTCAACGAGCTGACGGATCACCTGATGGTAAGCAATCGGCGTCACCCATGGACACCTGGAACACCAGAGGCGTTACAAGTGCGTTACCGGCTTTTTGGGGATTAGGAGTTTGAGGATCGTTGAGGGGATTCAGGGATTGGGAAGATTGGGGAAGGGGAGGGTAATTGGGCCTCCGGTAACCTCACTCACACGACGAAACACAACGCAAGCGTTTCTTCATGTCGGTTTTCTGTTAGGCCGTGGTATCACTCCGGTCGAGCCGGCCCATTCGTGCCGAAGCATGGCTCTCCCACACTTCATTACTTTCCAAGTTTTATATTGACATTAACCATCGGCGGGACAAGTAATTTATCGACAATAGGCGCTTCTATTTTTTGCTGAGTTCTAATTGAACTTCATTAGAACATGACCATACTGACTAGTGACTACCGAGCCTTTGAATAGATGAATATTTTAAGTTTTATTTGACGTGTACCATATTAACTAACAATTGCGGCGATGTCGCGCCCTATAGCACTCAATAGGCTGCGCCTGCGCGACATCGAGGAAGAACCCCTCTGTGGTTCGAAACTAGTAAAGCTTTTCTCAGTATGTTCACGTGAGTAACCCGCGATTTTTAGTGTGCCATAATTTTGACATTTCTATTGCTTTTAGTTATGTTACAGTTCTGTATTTTCTTCTTAACTTTTAATAAGTATCATTTTTGACATACACTTTCCATTCAAGATTTAAGATTTTTTTGCAAGATGTCGCCTCCTATAATTGAAGAAGCACATCATTTTTAATTTTGTGTTACGTTCTATGTGTGTTCTGATTGTATTCCTTGTTGGAGACTCTAATTCAATAAATAAACAAATGAATAAAGTCCAGCACACGCTCATACAAACAACAAAATAAAAGTAGGTACTCTCTTCCATTCACCGCTTGCAATATAACCAAAGCCGAACAGTAGTAATGGTACATAGCCAGAACGCGGGCGTGCATTTACAAGGTCGGCCATTATTACTCGTAATTCCGCATTGGATAAGTGAATTTCTGACATGTAATAAAAACTTATAATGTTATACAGACACCGGTAGGCGTTACTCTATTAAAATATATATTATTTTGAGAATGTATTTTGTTAGTATCTCGGTCCGACGAAGCAAGTGTGATTTTTTTAAAATAATTGAGTTAATGATGATTCAATTTAAATAACTTCTCATTTTATCAATATTGCAAGGAGATACAAATAAGTAGCTGTTATTGGAACTATAGGCATGGCATAGTAAATTCAAATTCAAATTCTTTTATTAGAAGAATATAGTATGATTAAATTAAGTACAGATGTCTAACAACTTGACCCATAGTAGAATAATTCTAATTTCTCCAACAATGCATTCTCTTTCCTAATATTTAATTACATAACATAACACCACGCCTTTTATCCCTGAAGGGGTAGGCACAGGTGTACATTATGCCACTGTCCAATGTAACACCCACTTTTCATTATTTATGTTATGAGTCCCATGTAATAGGAGCCTATTGCCATATACCGAGCATAATTTCAGACTCCGTGCTGCTACTATGATTTAAAAAAAAACCAGTAATACTTTGCCCGACCCGAGACCCCTAGCCCGGCAGTCGCACTTGCGACCACTCGGCCAACGAAGCAGTCGAGCCAATATTTAATTCTTTATTAGTAAAATTGACCATGAATAAAATCAAATAGAGCTATGAAACCAAGTGACGCAAACAGTAGACTATGGTCGTTGTACACGAGTAGGTAGTGGCCCGACTTGTCTGCTCATAATTGTGCCATTCTCTTCAATTATCAGGTGACTTTTATAACTGATGACTAATCTTTAATACTTGGACTTAAAGTACTTTAAACCTATAGACCTGTGACAAACTTAACTAGTAAGTTTTTAAGATGTCTATGTAGATATGAGACCTTTAGTTATTAGTAATAATCAGCTTAAACTTAGTCTTTAAATGTAGTTCCTTTTTTTAGGTGAGGCAAGAGGTAGTTTCAGTCTGTTACTGGTTAAAAACCACCCCGTTCCTACTCCTGAGGTACTTAGATTTCCGATGGTTGTATTCGCCCATGGTTTTGTTCAATGACATAACATCACGCCTTTTATCCCAGAAGGGGTAGGCAGAGTTGCACATTACGGCACTTAATGCGACTGCACAACGTAACACCCACTTTACACTATTTATGTTATTAGTCCAATGGGGTGAGCTTATTGCTATATACCGAGCACAATTCATTAATTGATTCAAGATAAAATGAACATAACTGTCAAATAAAACGCCTACACTAATAAATTAGTTACATTGATTTAAAAAAAAATACATAAAAAGATAATGTCTATGTAAATAGATACCATTGACACTTGCACAAGTCAAATGCTAAGCTTATAAAGTTACTGACACATAACACTTCATTTCAATCAGGTGATACCACAACCTTGAACGAAACTTAGGCTTCAATTACGTATTCTAATATTCTTTACTATTTTTCCAGTAAATTAAGACCTAGTTTGTTACCTAGGACCAGTTGGTCTCGGTCTAATACTCTTAGCAACTCGATATGTCTTGCCCAAGGAGTATTGATTTTCATTTATTTTGCATATATATTGTTGGAAAACCAAATAAGAATCATACTTCACTCATTTGTGGGAGAGACAACCAAATACATCATGTTTCATAAGGTAATTGTAAATTAGATTTTACCATTAAAAAATTTAAATTACTTTTCTAATACATTTCTTGAATTTTTGGTACATTCACTTTTTCGTGAATTTAGTGCTTAATAAACATTTAGTTAAGTTATTCCTTTTTCAGCATCTTTTCTAGTGTAGTTCAAAAACTCTTTGTCATTCAAATATCTTTTTCTACCCACAGTTCGCTATCCTCTCTGGCTTGGTGTTATCAGCCACGTGCATGGTTCTACATCAGCCTCAAATCCCAGTGCTCCTTGGTATACAATATGATTCGAACCCTAACTACAACTTCGCTTACGAAGTCAACGACGTTCACACTGGAGACATCAAAAGCCAGCAAGAAAGTAGAAGAGGTGACACTGTTCTAGGACAGTACTCCTTACTGCAGCCTGATGGTATCAGAAGGACGGTGGACTACAGAGCTGATGACCATACAGGTTTCCAAGCGACCGTGAACAATGCTGGTGGAGCTATATCCTCTCACGTACAGGCAGCCATCAATGGTGGCGTCACAAGGCACCCCAACCTCGCAGTCCAGTCCTACCAAGCCTGGCCCACTCCTACTGCCCATCCCTCAGCAGCTCCCACTCCCGTAGCCATTTCCAGGTCTTCATTCTCACAAACCATCTCCCATGGAGCTCCAGCTCACCACCCTTGGGCTTAAATCAAGACCTATCTTCATAGACACGGCAGCTAAAAATGACTCCGATTTTTTGCATTTATATTTTAAGTTGTATGTATTTCTGCTACAAATATCTATGAGAGTGACTAAGTGATAATGTACGTAATAGCCGACCGGATCCTGTTAGCCTTGCTCCATTGTGGTCAGTACTCAAAGGGAAATTAGCCTAGCAAAGTCTACGACCGGAATTTTAATGATGATATAATCTTTATCAGTTAGGTACTCCATATTTATATCTTGTAATGTATTCTATGTATTTTTTGTGAAATAAATAAAAACTACAGTAATACTTTCCGAGTTTTTGTTCACGGAACTGTTTTTTGTTTAGCGATTTAGATCCGCTCGTGTCGACGACGAAATTGGTCCTTTAACAATGACTTAAATAAAACAAAGAGTAGGCAGAAGTGTATGTACTCGTAATTCTCGTAACGTAAAGGTGAAGACATAAGATAATTTTAAACTAGTTTATTTATAGTATATGCACGAGCAACTCAGTACTGAGACCTTTTATGCGGAGCATCGCCCTGATTCGAACTTGACTTTAAGACATTTCCTGAATTTCTTTATTAAAAATAAGTACTAAAATAAAACTGGAACAATTGTTCGTTGATATAAAAGGCGGAGCAGGTGCTACAAGGGACATCAGATTCACAAGATTCTTCGACGTAGTCACAACAACAAAAACAATCCCTTCAAAATGTTCGTGAAGGTAAACACTCTTTAATTATTTATTTTCTTTTGTTTTCATCCACTGCAGTAATTAAGCAATTACCATTAAAACTTTACCTGTCATTATTAAACAAGAACTGATTAACAACATTAAAGTATCAAAAAAGGATACCAAATCATAATTACATTCTAACGGTGCTGTATTCTTCCCCAGTTCGTCGCACTCTTCGCTCTGATGGCGGTCGCTAGCGCCAGCGACCTGTCCAGTTTCGCCTACAGCGTGGCGGACCCCTACACCGGTGACTTCAAGCACCAGATCGAGAACCGCGTGGACAACAACGTTGCTGGCCAGTACTCTCTGCTGGAGTCTGACGGCACCCGCCGCACTGTGGACTACGCCGCTGGTGCTAATGGCTTCAACGCTGTCGTACGCAAGGACCCCGCTCTCATCCCTTACGCTGCCCCCGCCATCGCTCCCATCTCATACGCCGCTCCTTACGCCTACGCCAAGTTTGGAAAATTCTACGGCTCTCCTTTCCCATACGCTCACTACTTCTGAACCTAGACCACTGAATTTGTATTTGTAAATATCGGCACTGTAAATAAAATTATATATTTTCTGAACTTCTATTGATAACTGATTTTTATTAGAAAACCTACTTTGTAAGTAAGGATGTTTTGTAAATCGAGTGAACGGCTGACGAATTTCGATGGGTTTTAATTTAAATTTTCACAGTAATAGCGCTATGTCGGTAATATGTAGCTAGCTCTTGGTAATAGTTTCACACTCAATTAAACATGATTCCCAAACAATAATTGGCTTAGAATGAATGAATGAAGGTGCACTTTTGTTGGCCTTTAAATGCAATGAAAAAATGTCAAAGAGTATTAAAACATCATTATTTACTTATTATGTTGAGATATCACGGCCCAATATATACACAGAAGATCTCTAACAAATATAGAAATGTAGTAGTCGCTTACTGTACTCATGTAAATTATTGTCAAGAACTCTAATTAGTTACTAAAAAATTATGAAAAAAAAACTACGTTCACACATTATTACGATTTTACACTTAGGAGCAAATAAACGGAGTCACTTGCGTTTCTTTTATCATTTTATCAAACCCTTTGTAATTAAAAAATATATACTTGTTTTACAATAAAATGATCTCAATTAAAGGTAACTAAATTGCCTTTTACATGACATACATCACAAATAAATAAAGTAGTACTTGACACTCATAAACATAACATAACACACGCCTTTAATCCCCGAAGTGGTAGGCAGAGGAGCACATTACGGCACTTAATGCCACTGTACAATTTAACACCCACTTTTCACTATTTATGTTATGAGTCCCATGTAATAGGGGGTGAGCCTATTGCCATATTTTGGGCACATTTCCAGGCACCGAGCTACTATTGAGTTATTATTACAAAACCCAGTAATACTTTGCCCGACTATAGGAATCGGACCCGAGACCCCTTGCCCGGCAGTCGCATTTGAGACCACTTGAACCAGAAAAAAGTCTTCGACGTTTCTCCCTTACCTTTACTTAAACCCTACTATAATGACTTGTGTATCAGACAAAAAATATTGAACTACATGAACTCCTAAAAAAATTACATCAACGAAGCCAACCAGATGTTTAAACAGTTTCAAAATGCAGATAACATCAGTTCTACATTCATTAACAATGAGATCTATTCACAACATTCATACTTTGTTATTAAACGTTACAATTAACAAATGCACCACTATTATAGTGTACATCCATAAATTTTTCAATTTTCGACTTTAACACGCAATAATAAAGTTTAAAATATGTAAAAGTGTAACTAATTAGGGTAGCTTCATGTGCTGGCCTATGTACTGAGACTGTTAATAGTCATAATGTTGTAAGAGCTCTATTACAAGGCTGTGGCAACGTCACAGTTATTAAAAACTTGCTCATTTCTTTGTTTGGACGTGTTTAAATTATTATTTTTATAATTATGTTTGTATGTACGTTGTTACAATTTCTTCCCGCTATTAAGACCTTGCTTGGTATTGGGGAAGTAATGAGTGTAAGAATGTTGTGGAGTGATAAATAAATTGTTGTTTGTAAATTAATTAAATAATTTTAGTATGTTAAGAAATATAACATTACGCCTTATTAAGGTTATCGTTCACCTAACAACTATGTCTAACTACGTCTGTCACTTTTCGCTGTTTATGTTATGAGTCCCATGTTATAGGGGGTGAGCCTGTTACCATATACCGGCATTCCATCACCGGCACCAGTCCAGACTCCGTGCTACTACTGAGACGTTTCTTAAAAACCTTGTAATACATTGCCCGACTTAGGAATCGAACCTGAGACCACTTGCCCGGCAGCCGCACTTGCGATCACTCTACTAAGCGGCAACAAGGCTTTTAAACAAAGCGTTGAGTATGAATAATGAGAAAGAAATTAAATCAAAGTAGTATTTAGTTCTTTGACTATTTTTATTTGATCACAGCATCGTTCATTGCATTTTCTAAATAAATAAAAACATTCATAATATTATTTAGTACAGATGAGCGCCGTAGAGACCGTGAGCGCCATGGGCACCGTAGGCGATGGCACCATGAGCGAGAGGAGCGACATGGGCACCGTAGACTCCAGCGTTGTAGGCGAGGGGAGCAGCATGAGCACCGTAAGCTACGGCACCATGAGCCAGGGGAGCGGCGACAGCGCCGTAGGCAGCAACACCGTGGGAGTATCCGTGAGCCAAGGGAGCGGCGGCGTAGCCGTGAGCGAGGGGAGCGGCGTAGGCGATGGGAGCGGCGTGAGCTACGACGGGAGCGGCGTGAGCGACGACGGGGGCGGCGTGAGCGTAGAGAGCGGGGTCTTTGCGGACGACGGCGTTGAATCCAGAGTGAGCGTCAGCGGCGTAGTCCACTGTACGCTTTGTGCCATCAGACTCCAGGAGCGAGTATTGGCCGACCACACTATCTCCGACGCGGGTCTCGTGCTGGCTCTTGACGTCACCGGTGTGGGGGTCGGACACTCCGTATGAGAAGCTGGTGTAGTCGGCACCATGGATGGCGCTACCCTGAGCAGCCGCCACCAGCAGAGCAACAACGACGAACTGGAAATAAACGAACGAATGAACGAAATATTCATTTGAAACTACATAGCTATTTTAATCACAAAATTTGTATGTAGTTGTTATATCCATTACTTAAACATTATACATATAATGGATATATCTTAACATAATTTCTACTTTTCTCCCAAGTGACCAATTAATTTAAAAGATAACACTAAAATATTTTTTCTTTCATTTGATTGTATGTTTCATTATAAAAAACAGAATACTTTCATGATAAGTCACTGGAGAAAAGAAAATATCGCCAAATCAATAAGCGTTTACTTTTTTCAATGAAATGATTTAATAATACCCACCTTGGCTGCCATTTTAATATTGTTATTGTTTGACGAGCGAGCTGCGAATGTTTGACCAGGGTTAGCAATTCTCTTTTTATACTATTCCTACATGACAGTTACTGTACGCAGAAGTAATAGGAAGTAAGACACATGCAAATGAGGTCGGTAAACTGAAATGTATCCTGTACACGACAGTGACTATTTTCCGTGGAAATCTGAAGTCATTTAAATACACCGTAGTAAGTATTTATTTTAAATCCTGACGCGTTTTTATAACAATTCAGTCTCTGTATAATAATAAGACTAATCTCAAAATTGAGCTACAACAGGAAAACGTGACTTATTTTTGAAGTTTTTCTTTATTAATGATCGCATTTTAAACTTTTTAAGCAAGCTTATTGAGAGTATTGATTGCTAGGTGAGTTTATTGCTACGAAAAGGAAAGGATTCTCTTAAAAAGAAAAATATTACATATGTTCCTTTGAATCAAACAAATGATTGTTTGATCTGCAAGGGTTGCAAACTACATACATAATATTATATGTATGCAGTTCTATCTATGAGTGTAATTTCAAAATACTTCCGAATATCAAGTTCACATAAATTTTCAATAAGTATTTTAATCATTATTTTTAGCAATCACAATATAACATCACGCCTTTTATCCCCGAATGGGTAGACAGAGGTGCACATTATGCCACTGTACAATGTAACACTCACTTTTTCTCTATTTATGTTACGAGTCCCATGTAATAGGGGGTGAGCCTATTGCCATATACCGGGCACAGTTCCAGACACCGTGCTACTACTGAGAATTTTTTTAAAAACCCAGTATCCCAGTATTGTTTTTAGTAATCATGGAATCTAATATGTCTAAAATAATAATTGCAACACTAATTTACAAGAAAAACAAAACATAAGTTTCGACTGACCTTAATTTTGATACGTATTTCTGTCAGTTGCTGACACAAGTGTAATTAATATTAATCAAACGATATCTTACACGTTAAGCGCAGTTACTTAAATGAGAAACAATGACTATAATATATTTTTTGTCATTAGTTGAGGTAAGGGTATCCGGTTCTCGAACATGAGAATGCAGACAAATACCATACTAACCTTTTTCAAAAAATCATTGAGATACATTTAGAATGAAAATATCGTGAAAACCGTAAGTACGTTAAACTGTAAGTCCATACTTACAGTTTAAAAGGTTCGACCGTATTTCTACTTGTTATTTATATATATCGAAATAGTCTTTTGTAATAGAATTTAATACCATTTTTTAGTCTATGCTATCCCTCTATGGTAGTTCTGTATTGTCTATGTGTGTATCTTTCTCTTTGCCAAAAACCTGTGCGGAATAAAGAAGCGTGCTCGCATCAAATAACGTTCTCTTGTTCTTCGTTCAAAGTACTGGACATGTACTACATATTTGACAGCTGCTATGATTGGACAAAATAAATCCTTACAATTAAAAAAAGCAGTTTATACACAGTTATTTTGAAACAAATTTTCAAATGTTAATCCCTTTTTATGTAAAGGAAAATGTATTGAAATATGTATCAGAGACATTGTAGAACATACTTTTTTAAAAAGAGTAACAAATGAAGTTTCTTGCTCGTTCTTCTCCATTCGAATCTACATTTTGGAATGAGCACCTAGCTTCACTGATGGACTGAATGACAGACTATTATTTATTTTGTATTTGTTGAAGTTTCAAAAGTACCAAATTATGGTTTAATTGAAATAAATGCTTTGACTTTGACTTTGATTTTACTTTCTAATCATTACAGTCACATTAATTTAGTTCAACATGACTAATTTTAACCTAATAGTAATGTCTACACTCAATTGTCAAGATTATTATAATTGTACATACATAGTAACGATGCATATAACGATGCATATGCATATGCATAGTAACGATAACGTATAAATTGATTTGCTGTAAGTTGTTTAAGCTATATTTTGTGATATAAATTTTCAAATATTTTTAGGATTATTATGTTATCCATTAAACTGTCAAACACCAAGCGGTCACCGGTGACCGCGACCTATTGTTCTTTAATTGTGTCTATAAAACCGGTACTCGACGAGTTAATAATTATAATAGTCTCATAGATAACTTACATAGTATTATAGTCCATTAGGTACATAGCTTTTAAGATTTTAAAAAAATTTGCATGCCATATGGTAGAATGTACCAGGAACGATATACCTTTGTAAGACCTTATATCATGTACCTACTTTCAATGCAAATAAATTACTCTATTCTATTCTAAAGTACCGACCTATTTAGATACTAAGTCAATTTTACTACAGTTGTAAAATATTATAGCACCGGTGCATTTCATCTACTGTAAAAACAATTCATTACGACAGTCTGAAAAAGGTCCCAGAAGCTTCCAAATCCTATCTCCCCTAGGGTAGGCAGAGACTATGCAAATTGCTACGACTCTTACATACTTACCTCTTTCGCTTCATCAACAGTCATCTGGCTTTTTATGCATACTTGTCGATTAAGGATACTTTTAATTCTGCCCTTATTTATTATATATATATCGATATTTAATGAACGTATATCTCTTGTATTTGTATATACGAGAAATAAAAAGCTCATTCCAAAGGGTACATGCCTGGCATACGTCTTAGAATAATCACAATATGTACAAATACTTATAAGGTCATTCCTTAAAGACAATGAACACACAAAGCATATTTGCAATGGTACACCATTGATAATAAATAATTGGTTACGTAGTAAGGTTGATACGTAATAATTATCCAAAGCCAATACCAGGATTCAGTTAAACCAATGACCTTACTAGGCCGTCTCTTACTTCCTTTTATAACCACAGCAAAAGTAACATAGGAACAGTATATAAAGTGAATTGGTAACCCTGATTTATCATTCGCAGTTAGCTTGTGAAACAAATAATAACAAAACAAAATGGCATCTAAGGTTGGTTTGTTTAATTGTTTCTACCTTGTGAGCTGGATGAAGTGAATTAAATGATTAGTGGCAAAAAAAGTTTTATAGCGTCTGCGGTTAATTCAGTTTTTGGTGAAATCTTTCTTCACTAAGTTTTAATTCTATGTGTATTGCATTAGCAATAGGTTCCTATTAAATGGATACCATAACTGGCGAATTGGTGAATGTTATGTTTATTATCTACACCACTGCCTGCACTGCCACTGCCACTACGATTTCAAAGAATGTATGACGTGCCTAAAGATAAAAACTAATTTCGGGAGTTGTAAATTCATGAATGTTCTGCTATTAATACTTCAGAATACCTTATATATTTTTAAATTACCTAATAAACTTTGAATTATCTACTTTCAGTTTGTGATTGTTGCTCTGCTGGTGGCTGCTGCTCAAGGCAGCGCTATCCATGGTGCCGACTACACCAGCTTCTCATACGGAGTGTCCGACCCCCACACCGGTGACGTCAAGAGCCAGCACGAGACCCGCGTCGGAGACAGTGTGGTCGGCCAGTACTCGCTCCTCGACTCCGACGGCACAAAGCGCACTGTGGACTACGCCGCTGACGCTCACTCTGGATTTAACGCCGTCGTCCGCAAAGACCCCGCTCTCTACGCTCACGCCGCCCCCGTCGTCGCTCACGCCGCTCCCGTCGTAGCTCACGCCGCTCCCGTCGCCTACGCCGCTCCCCTCGCCCACGGCTACGCCGCCGCTCCCTTGGCTCATGGATACTCCCACGGTGTTGCTACCTACGGCGCTGTCGCCGCTCCCCTGGCTCATGGTGCCGTAGCTTACGGTGCTCATGCTGCTCCCCTCGCCTACAACGCTGGAGTCTACGGTGCTCATGTCGCTCCTCTCGCTCATGGTGCCATCGCCTACGGTGCCCATGGCGCTCACGGTCTCTACGGTGCTCATGGTGCTCATGGTCTCTATGGCGCCCACCTGTACTAAATTATGTTAAGAAATATTTAATTTATTTTGAAACGAATAATGAACGAATGAAATAAGCTGTGATCGAATAAATTGTTCGAATAAAATTTACTTTCTCTTTCATTGAAAACAACCTATAAAAATAAGTGTACTTAAGAGCCAGAAAATTAATAAGTTGTCTTATTCGTAGCGATGTAAACTTGCTGCAAAAAACCAAACATTTTGGGTAAAACCAAGTCACCAGAAAATCTATAGATTCGCAAATTATCGTACCAACCGTAGCATATTTTATTTACTTATAGATTAACGGATTTAACTTCCTTTTAAACTAGAAACGCTTAGTTATATTTAAAAGTTGTCTAGCGTAATGGATCACTCGATCTCATTTTAAGAGACTATTCTTTACTATTCTATTTTTAATTAAACAATAAGGTAAGTTTAATAACTAATTCTACAAATTGAACAAACGACGTAATGAAGATCGTAGCGGTCGCAGAAAGTAGGTCGCTTCCAAATTGTTGATCTGAATATTATCAACAAAGGATGCCTATGTTCAGTAGTAGACAAGAAGAATTATAGTCAATAAATATTATCGACGTATCTTTACATTGATACTTTAACCGATTGCATTAAACTTAATCTCTAGATTATGTTTACCTACTGGATAAAGATAGAGATAATAATCAACAAATTCTTCGAGAAATGTGAGAGAATACTAATTTACAATACCTTGGAATATCATTATAATTTTTTTTTCCAAAAGAATGAGACAGCCAGTACCTTTTTTATATAAACTTTATACCAATTATACTAAGAACTTGAATAAGCATTCAAGCATACAACTTGCACAATTTTTTTTCACTAAATAGTTTAAGGAACTGGGGATCTTAGAAGGTTTAATTCCCGAGTCTACTCCAGCCCGAAAGTTATCATCTTACTAATATTATAAATCGGAAAGTGTGTTTGTTTGTTTGTTCCACTTTCACGCCGTAACTACTAGACCGATTGCTTTGAATTTTTGCAGACGTGAAGTTAGAAGTCTGGATTAAATAATAGGGTACTTTTAAAATGTTATTCTCGAGGGAAAACGAAATTATTGGTATAGATGGCGCTGTGTGTATTGGTATATGTCACATAGGCTACTTTTTATCCTTTTGTGATGCGAGCGAAGCCGCGGGTAAAAGCTAGTTTATGGTATATTTATAAAAATGTCATATTGGCCTAATGTCTTCGGGTTCTAATGTGGGGTTGTAAAGGTCACATAGCTTCACGTAGGATATTGGCACTTAGCCGACTTAGAATAGATCTTAAAATTGACCGTAATGTAATTGTGAATACGTGAATTTATTTATGTATGTGGTTTATTTAAAATAAATCTTACCATACTGAAGTAAAAGAAACTGTCATGTTACATTTGTTATACACATTTTTTTAACAAGCCCATCTATCATCATGCTCTATTGCTCATGCAAGACAATGTTGCGTTTATTATCAGTACTTTTTATTAAGTTTATTTTCATCAAAGTACATTTAACATTAAAATAAATAAAGAAGAAAATTCAGTAGCTTGTTTGAACAAAGCCTATTAATTTGGTCATCATTATGACACGATATTATACAACACCAAAATTCACCAAAAAATTGCTTTGATCCATCTGAAGTCCTCCAAAAATAGAACATCCTCTATAGACCTCTACAAAAATATCATTAATTACTAAAACGTGTAAAGAAGGCCTAATAATATCCGCTGCAGTACTAAAATAAATAAAACACGAACAATTAACTCGTCGAGTACCGTATTTATAGACACAATTAAAGAACAATAGGTTGCGGTCACCGGTGACCGCTTGGTGTTTGACAGTTTAAAATAATGTTAAGAATTCCAAGGTTGTTGAATTGATATACGTACCTAAGAAAGCCTTCCGTAGTGAAGTTGCCTTATGTAAGTGAAAGTTTATATTTATTTTGAAATGAAATTGGAATGGTACGTCACGATTTTACACTTTTGAAGGTAAATGAAAGTAAGTTCTTCAGGGGTTGAAAGTCAAAGTCAAAATATGTATTTCAATTAGACTAGGAAGGCACTTTTGAACGTTAAAACAAAATATTTAAATATTAAATAATAAGAAAAAATGACAGTCTGTAGATCAGTCCTCTAGTGAAGCTATTTGCTCGTTCCAAAGTATAGATTCCTATGGAGAAGAACGAGCAAGAAACTCCATAGGTTACTCTTTTTCAATCATGTTCACAATACAATTTTTGGTTACATTATTTACCTTAAAACTAGTTTATTTCTTAGACAAGGATATAATACCATTCCAGGAATAAACATAGGTACATAGACAAGTATTTCACAGAAAAGCTTTCTGGTTTCTTATTAGTCTACCTCATTTTTGACTAGTGGGTCTGATACCCTTACCACAAACATATGAGGCTACCAGAGGCCCAATTACACCACCCGCCCTTTCCCAATCCCTGAATCCCCAACAATCGTTAATTTCCCAATCCTAAAAAGCCGGTAACGCACTCGTAACGCTTCTGGTGTTTCAGGTGCGCATGGGCGACACCGATTGATTACCAGGTGTTCCACCTGCTCGTTTACCGATTTATCCTATAAAAAAAGACTGTTAGACTATGGGCATCTTGACTTAAAATTAGTTATACTTAGCAAGCGGGATGGAGATCGCCAGTGAAAAAAAAAGTCATGTATATTAATGCTGTGCTGCCCTGCCCTATATTTCTCACTAACCAAATATTAAAAAACATCACCGTTTTATAATAATTTATCAATTCTAATATCTAGTGGTCAGTAACTACCAAAGTTCCGCATAACTCACAGTCAACGAAAAGTGTAATCAAAAAACATTCAAACGCGTGACCTTACGATTGCCTGCATGTCTTTTACTTCCTATTTATAGTACCTACAGTATACAGGAATAGTATATAAAGAGAATTTATAACACTGATTAATCATTCGCAGTTTACTTGTGGAACAATAACTAAATACAATGGCAGCTAAGGTTTGTTTCTATATTTCTTTGTTTGGTTATTTAAAGTGATTGAGTAGGAGTGAAACATAAGTTTTGCAAGGATTTTTTTATTGGGATTTTCTATGGAACAGGATTTGTATACCACTTTTCTTGAGAGTTTTTCACTCTGGGAACCAACCACAGGAACTCTGGAATATCAAATAATTTCAATTATTCACTCTTTTTCAATGTTATTTTTGCGAATGCTATCGTTTTTTTACTAAACATGGTGGCTGTAAAATTTGAATAAAAGGCATTACTATGGAAAATATTGGATTTTAGTAATTTTTGGTAATCTATAATATATCAGATTGCATTCTATAGCTATTATGCAGTTTTAATTTGTAAAACAATGGTAGAATTTAATGCAATTGAATTTAACACTTGTTCATTTTATTCCAGTTCGTGATTGTTGCTCTGCTGGTGGCGGCTGCTCAGGGCAGTGCTATCCATGGCGCCGACTACACCAGCTTCTCATACGGAGTGTCTGACCCCCACACCGGTGACGTCAAGAGCCAGCACGAGACCCGCGTTGGAGACAGTGTGGTCGGCCAGTACTCGCTCCTCGACTCTGATGGCACAAAGCGCACCGTCGACTACGCCGCTGACGCTCACTCTGGATTCAACGCCGTCGTCCGCAAAGACCCCGCTCTCTACGCTCACGCCGCCCCCGTCGTCGCTCACACCGCTCCCGTCGCCTACGCCGCTCCCCTCGCTCACGGCTACGCCGCCGCTCCGCTCGCCCACGGATACGCCGCCGCTCCCTTGGCTCACGGATACTCCCATGGTGTTGCCACCTACGGTGCCGCTCCCCTGGCTCACGGTGCCGTCGTAGCTGCTCCCCTCGCCTACAGCGCTGGAGTATACGGTGCTCATGGTGCCGTCGCCTACGGCGCTCACGGAGCTCATGGTCTCTATGGTGGTCACGGTGCCCACGGACTCTATGGCGCTCACTTGTACTAAATAAAAATGTGATAATATTTATTTATACTGAAACCCCAATAAATGATGCTGTGATCAAATAAAATAGTTCGAAATACGAATATTGTTGTTTAATTTAATACTTGTATTGTATTTAATGACACTGTGGTAACTTGTAAATATTATATTTCAATACTATCAGGTAAACTTATGAAACAAATTAGTTCATTCTATATTTTAGCAAAGTTAACATAATTTAAATTCAAAAGCAATCCAACTAGTGCAAGTTAATAACAGAAATTATAAAACAGAAGGTCTAACCGTATCCGTAGATTAAATAATATAATCAAGTAATACCGAAACTAAAGTGCAAAAATCTAGTTCACCTTGAATGACTGTACATTGTACTACATAAATAATTATACTATTAGCGAACTAAATCTTGTAAATATACGGAAATTAAGTAGCGTGAATGGCAAGAAATGGTCCTATTACGCAAATTTTGGTCCTAATGTAAATAACACTTGTAAAACTGTGCTGGCTTAAGTACATGACTTAATTTTATCTCATTTCCTAATAGAGATAATATATGAGTAGTTGAATACATTGCCTCGAATTAATAATATACAAAAATGAGTATTTGTTTACATTAAAAGCTCAGATTTTATACTTCATGTTAGAAGTGGAGAATTTATAGAATTTATGAATCAGTTTGACTTCTAATGTTTTAAATATCGTCATACTATTTCGATTATGATTACTCTGAAGATTATGAGTTTAACTCTTACAAATTATGTATAATTTAGTTTAGTGTGTAAATCAAGGAAGTTTAGCTTAACGTGAACACTCGTAAATCTATGTTTACAACAAGGACAGTAGGTCAGTTCCCTAGTAGCAAACACATCATTGAATTCCACGCCTTTTGTGCAACGCGTACGGATCGTTAATTTAATTATATCATTGTTACACTTTGTCTCTTGAGAATATGTCTGTATTTTGTAATGAGTCACAATTCTATTACTGAGAAAAAACTTTAGCTATTATTACATGGGCTTCAAGTTCAATTCAAAGTAATTGATGGATTTCAAATGCACGATGTAATAACAGTGTAAAATATTTGCTGTCAGACCTTGTTACGTGTTTAATTTGAGTCTGTCAATAAACTTCAAATCGAAGTTCATCAATCTAACGACTTTGTACGATGTGACAGCTAATGATGTGATGAGAATGGAATGAAATAAAAATATCAAAACTTCGTATTCATAATTTATTAGTCGTCTAAATCACAGATCAGTAACAGTCATTTCATCACCAGGCTAAACCAGCTCCAAGAGCCGGGGCACCAAGAGCCGGGGCACCATATGCTCCATGACCATGAGGAGCTGGGTGCGCTACAGAGTTGGCATAACTGTGGGCAACACCGTGGGCATGAGGGTTGATTAGTCCGTGGGCGTGAGGGTTAGCGAGTCCATGGGCCGCAGCTCCGTATCCACCATAGGCACCACCGTAAGCGCCACCGTAGGCACCACCGTAAGCTCCACCGTAGGCACCATTGTAGGCCCCGGCGTAAGGTCCAGGGTAAGGGCGAGCAGCGTTGTGAACAATAGAGTGGGAGTAGTGAGAGACAGCAGGAGCTCCACGGTTGCCAAGATGACCAGCCAAGGGGTTGCCGTATCCGTTAGCATATCCAGGATACGCTAAGTTGCCAGCAAGACGGTTGGCACCGTACGCACCAGGGTGGGCAAGAGCACCAGGATGAGGTAGAGATCCAGGGTAGGGGAGAGCACCAGGGTGGGCCAGAGCACCGGGGTGGGCGAAGGCTCCAGGGTGGGCGAGTGCTCCAGGATGGGCGATGGCACCAGGGTGAGCAAGAGCTCCAGGGTGGCCGAGGGCACCAGGATGAGGAAGAGCACCATGAGCAAGGGCACCTGGATAACCAAGAGCACCAGGGTGTGCTAGGGCGCCAGGATGAGGAAGAGCACCGGGATGAGGTAAAGCAGCGGGGTGCGCAAGGGGACCAGCTCCAGCCAAAGGAGCAATAGGTGCGGGACGGACTGGGCCAGCAACAGGCGCCAATGGAGCTGGATGCGCTACAGGTCCATGTGCAGCTCCAGCTAGAGGAGCAAGTGGTCCAGACGGATGCACACCAACAGCAGGTTCCTTGCGGACAACAGCGTTGAATCCAGTGGCGGCGTTAGCAGCATACTCGACAATCCTTTTAGTTCCATCTGATTCCAGAAGTGAGTATTTTCCAACGACGCTGTCACCGACGCGTTTCTCGTGCTGATCCTTGACGTCACCAGTGTTGGGGTCTGACACACCATAGGAGAAGCTTGAGTAACCACCGCTGCCGTAGACTGATGCTACGAACAGGGAAAGTACGATAAACTGGAACAAATAAAATATTTTATTAAGTTTGTGAATTCTGTTAGAATGATGTCTTGGGACTATGTATTTTTGATAAATTCACCAGTATCTCACAAGGACCAATTTAATTTTTTTTGTATTGATATTTTTTTTATATTTTACCTTAGCTGCCATGGTGATATGTGTTCTTCTGTGATTTTGGGTTGTGAATGATTTAACCCCGTCAGTTCCAAATATTTATATTCACACGAAGTCTCCGCATTGTAGTTTTGGGGGTCATAGTTTGAAATCATTGCGTTCACATCTGCTTTTAAATTTCGAAAGATTCTCTTTCAGAGGTTAATTAGGAACTGAAATGCCTATTATGTAAATTAATTTTGCACTTAGAACGGTAACATTGGCCTCGTTGATGAGTTAAATACATGTTTAGATGTCGATTTGCTTGTTCTTTATAAAGATATCATTTAATTTCAAGTTGTAGGTTTTAAAATTACAAGCATTATAATTATAGAGGCGTAAGTGGTGATTGAGAGGTATGAGAAAAAAGGTTGTATAGCATTATTAAGGGTTCCTTTTGTACTACCTCTACCGCAAAATAACGATATTAAAGGTGGTCTTAATCAAAACAATATTTTATTAGTTGCAATTCAATTGACAGTTATATTATATGTAGTTTATTAATTTTTAAAAACTCCAAATCCTTTATTAGGTTTTCAGCAACAACTTTTCAACTTACGATATGTCGAATAGAATGCATTTTTCCCCAATACGTTTTGAGTACCATAAATAATTATTTATTGACTCCTTACCAACTAACATGAATTTTAGTATTTTTCCAGCAAAATTTTAACGAATCAGTATGCTGTTTGGCGCTAAAAAAACGTGATGTTGCAATATACAATTTTCGAACAAAATTCATAAAAAACTGTCGTTGTTGACAGTTCCAAAAAAGTATTAAATTTGACTAGTTGGCAAGTACCCAATTATAACATAATATAACATCACGCCTTTAAACCCGAAGGGGTAGGCAGAGGTGCACATTACGGCACTTTATGCTACTGTACATTGTACAATATACATTGTACACCCACTATTCACTATTTACATATATTATGACTCGCATGTAATAAGGTGTGAGCTTATTACCATATACCGGGCACAATTCCAGACTCTGCTACGATTGAGAATTTTTAAAAAACCCCAATAATAGGTACTTTGCCTGACCCGGGAATTGAACCCGAGACCCCTTGCCCGGCAATCGCACTTGCGACCACTCGGCCAAGGATGCAGTTATACCTCCACGTACCAATTTCATATAGTTAAAGTAATTAGTAAGTAAGTACATAGAAATTGTATGTGACTTTTAATTAAGTCATGATGAATTGCAATTCGTTAACCCCAAAGTTATATAATATATATTTACTTATTTTTTTCTTAAATATCAAATAAATAAACTCTTCCATTGGACGATTGGTTGTAAGCACGACTATGCGACTAACTTGGGTACGATTCTTTCTTGGACTAAGCAAAGATGTTTAAGTTTCCAAAAATTCTTAATAGTGTTACTAAAAATATGGAATTGCACTAGGTGTATGATGACAGTCTTTATTACGTGTGTAACATAAATGATAAAAGTCTGTATTGAATTTTGGCATACGGCTCCTCAATAATGCCTTAATAAATTATTTATATTTCTAATATTATCTAGTGTCTAGACACTGACATACGGTGAAGGAATACACGTGAGGAAACCTGGGCTTATAATCTCTAATTATAAGTTTGAAATCGCCAACCTGCATTATGTAAGCGTGGTGATTAATGCTGAAGTTTCCGTGTGAGAAGAGCCTTTTCTCAACAGTGTGCATTTATAGGCTGTTAATGACGATGATGATGATATTTTGAAAAATGATTTCATGGTTAAATAAGTTATTAAATACTATTATTTATTGTAGATACGACTGCCTCGTTGGCCGAGTAATCGCAAGTGCGACTGCTGGGAAAGGGGGTGTCAGGTTCGACTCCTAGGTAGGACAAAGTATTACTAGGCTTTTTTTTAAAATCTCAGTTGAAGCACGAAGTATGGAATTATGCCCGGTGTTGGAATTGTGTGCAATAGGTTCACCCCCTATTATATAGGACTTATAACATGAAAAGTGGATGTTACATTATACAGTGGCATTAAGTGCCGTAAAGTGAAGCACTGCATACCCCTTGGAGGATGAAAGGCATGATTTTATGTATTGTAGATATGTAAGTTTTATAATATTATTAAGATTACTACTACTATTACTATAGACTATATAAAATTTGATAAAATTCAGGACCTTGTGCTCACTACTTAACTAAAGCAGATATTTTGGTATTCTGTTACAAATATGTAAGAACTACATAAAGATGATACTATCAGTACTGATAAAGAAACAATTAGCCATAAATTATATTGTGCCATATCCATTAAAACACTTCAAAAGGTGATTTACATACACTATCGTAGGTCAGAACTAATTTTTCAAATGTTTCCGGCCAAAATGATTGCGTACGCGCTGAAGATTATGAAAACCACATATATAAAGGCCAGGAGGATTCGAAAACATCAGTATCTGTGTAAACAATACCAAACAATGTTCTCAAAGGTAATTGAGTAAATTTTGAACCACAAAGAACAATTTCGTTGATAATTTAAAATATCCCAGTACTTGGGTAAAATAAGTTCTTGCCTAATATCGTCTAATTAGTATGAATTATCAACGTTCTCAGCTGTTGATTCTCATTCGCTTGCTAGATTTTGATTTGGTTCAGTGATTTTTTTTCTGATAAGAATTTCGGTTTATTTATAGTGCGCGTGTGAATTTGGTCCGTAGTTTTGTTAAAGACACCGTGGGTGGTGACAATTCGTGTGTATTTTGTGACGAAACTGATAACGGTGTATTTTATATTGAATTATATAAAAATTCATCATGTGTATCTTCCGGGCGTTCCTCTAAGAATACTAGATATTTGTTACTATATTTAATATCTTAAAACCTAAGTCATAAGCACGATAAAAGCTTGAATGATTTTATGACCTGATTTAAACCAGTTCTATGATAAGACAATTATTTAATTCCGATGTCATGATTGTGATTAAGTTATTAATAAATTCTTGGTAGTTTAGTCATTTATGGCTTTCGAAATTACTGTTGACATTTATCGCTTTAGAATTATTTATGGTGAATTTGTAAATAATATTTTTTTTTTATTTTTCCACAGTTCGCTTTCGTCGTCCTTTTGGTGGCCGTTGCTCGCTGCAGCGCTTCAGGGGGATCCTCAAGTTTCTCCTATGGAGTATCAGATCCCAACACTGGAGATATCAAGGACCAACACGAAAAACGAGTAGGAGACAGTGTTGTTGGAAAATACTCCTTGCTGGAAGCTGATGGAACCAAACGTACCGTTGAATATTCCTCTCATCCTCACACTGGATTCAATGCTGTAGTCCGAAAGGACCCTCCTCACGGTGTCCACCCACCATCTGCAGTAGGATACAACGGTGTTGCTTCGGCTCTTGGTGGCCTAGGATATGCTGGAGCCAATCCTTTGGGATATGGAGGCCTGAACGCGTGGAACCCTGCTGCTAAATCAGCCTATATTGGCAGTCCTTACATCGGGGCTTATGGTGGATACAACGGCGCTAATAATGGCTGGACTCAGAACTATGCGGCCAATGTTGGAGCCAATGGATGGCCAAACAACTATGGTGCTGCTGGAGCATATGGTGGCAACGGATATGGATGGTCTACCACCTCTGTCACCTCTTGGCCAAATAACGCTGCTACTAACGCTTGGCCTAACAACGTAGGAGCCAATCTTGGTGCTAACGCTTGGCCTAACAACGTAGGAGCCAATCTAGGTGCCAATGTGTGGCCTAGTGCAGCAGCTGGTGTTGGTGTCTATGGCAATGCCAATGGAGTCTATGGTGCTAACGGATGGCCTCAAGGTTATGGAGCAGCTGGGTATGGTGCCTACGGTAACCGTCTGGGATGGTAAATTATTACTTGATTAAAATTATAAATCGCTAAATTATTCTGGACTCGGCTGTGTTTCCCTGCAACTAGTTACGATTGTGTAATTGTTTGATCTCTTGTGGCAATTAAAATAAATGGAAAACAAAAAAGGTTGTATTTTTTATGAAAACAACCGCGATTCACTAAATTTTAGCTTATGCTTCCGTACAAACTTATGTATTTATATGTGACATATTTTAATGATCATAAGGAAGCAACATAACTAACTATAAACTAAAGCTAGTTCAAAGAGGACTATGTTCTTAAATCTTAATTGGCTAATTTTACAACGGTATCAAGAACCCATTAAGTCATTAAGTATAGGAGTGATACAAGACCGCTATTTATAATTAGTACAATTATAACACATTTGAAATGTACATTTTCGGCAATTATTGCTTCCTGGTTGACCAGTTTTCTGAATTTGTCTTGCAAAAAATTGTTAACAAATTGCCATTACGCTAAAATATCTTATCATTATTTATGTTGTACCTGAATTCGAGAAACAGTAGTCAAAAATAAAATTAGTTACTTTATTTTAAAAGTCGAAATTAAGAATTCCTTACATACAGCACCACAATGTTAATAATCTTGTTAAAATTTTGATCACATAATCCAGGTGACGGCCATTGTATCTTTAAACATGGCTTGGAAACAATTGAATGTAAACGTGTATAGTTAGTCACTAGATTATGATAGTTTCTTGGTTCTAAAAATACGACGACAAGATACATCAGTACATACCATATCATAACATCACAGTGCACACAGAAGTAACACCCACTTTTCACTATTTATGTTATGAGTCCCATGTAATAGGAGGTGAGCCTATTGCCATATACCGGGCACAATTTCAGACTCCGTGCTACTACTGAGATTTTTTTTAAAACCCAGTGATACTTTGCCCGACCCGGAAATTGAACCCGAGACCCGTTGCCCGGCAGTCGCACTAGCGACCATTCGGCCAACGAGGCAGTCACAGCCAACATCAGTACATGTGTGTAGCTATTTGAGTAAAACTTTGCACTTGCAATCTACTACACGCTTACCTCTTCAAATTTGCGGTTCGGCATCAGAAAGAATCAAAGCCAACAGATATTCTGATGCATTTTTTATTATATCAATGAAGACACTTTATATTAAACTGAGACCTTAATACGAGTTTTTTTACGTTTAAAGTAATCGTAACGAGTACGCGTTCGGTGCACTGATTGGCCGGCGCCAATAAACCAACCAATCAGAGCGCCGAACACACTCGTACTAAGGCCTTTGTCAATAAATTCTACAATATTTCAAGTAAGAAAGCAGTAGTTGCACAAATGATACAAATATTGTAAGCATCGCATGGAGATTGCCTTGAAGTGCGAATGTAGAACAAACTCATAATGATACAGATCTTGTATCTACGTCGTTTGTAATAAAGTTTATAGTTCTTAGTGTTTTAGGAATTAACTATAGAGGAATACATTCATTGACTGATATTGTTAAGACTTGGTTAAGACAATGGGCGAGTGTCAACTTAAACATACATACATACATACATACATAACATCACGCCTTTTATCCTCGAAGGAGTAGGCAGAGGTGCACATTACAGTGGCATTGTCAAATTAAAATGTGAATTTATCCTAAGTAATATGATTCTGAAAGGAAGCATGTATTCCATGTTAAATGTAACACCAATTTATGTTATTTTATGAATCCCACGTAACAATGAGGCTTATAAGCCTTTATTTTGTACCTATTTTAAAATTTTTATAATCTAAAGAATGAATGATAATTTTGCGCGTGGTAAAATAAATGATAGTTGTTAGAAGAAACTGTGACGCATGCGTGGTCTTTGATAAATTGATATTTATTTTCCGCTACTCCATATAAGAATTTAAGGAAATGGTCACAATATGATTATAATAATTAAATTGTTTACACTTAAGAGGTAATACATACACACATACATACACATGCATACTGCACGGTATCAAAACAATGAACTAAAAAAAATAATTTTGATGAGCCTATGGCCTATACAGAGAAGCCTATACAGCCAAAAAGTTTTAACAAGCAAAAAACAATCAAGCCAGCAAGAATAATTGCTACACAAATTGAAATGAGCAAACAAAAAGAAAGAAAACAATCTAGGAAGTTCGAAATTTAAAAAACGAAAACGTCAGAAACGTGCACAGATAAGAAAAAAAAACGCGCCACAGATTAACAAAGCCAATGATGCGTGTGAGATGCAATCTTGAGTGCTGCGGACCATTTCTCCGACGTCAGTACAAATTCTCATCAGTGACCTTGCCCTTCCGGATCCGTCGGCATCACAAAGACTATTTATTATTCTTGTCGTACGTTGTTGGAGTTCCGTCGGTTGTTTTGTGTGTTACCAAAAAGTTTAATAATATGAGATTTTTAACTTATTTAATTTTCGAATCTTAACTAATTATTTTATTAAGACCAATATTTTGAGTCTAGAAAAGATCAATTGGTTGTTCCTTAATCAAAAATAAATTATTTCGACTATTCAATATCTTAAAAAATAATCACACTTTCATTAATTGATTTTATGACAAACTTAATTTTTGTATTTTCCACTAAATTTTAAAGAAATAAGTATGTTGTTTGACGCTAAAAACACGTGACGTCACAAAACAAACACTATACACAGTCTCCTAAAAAATTCATAGAAAACTGTCATTATTGACAGTCGAAAAACGTATTGAATTTTGATTAGTTGGCAAGTACCCAATTGTAAATTAATGCATCTTAGGTATTGCCGTTCTAACACTGTTTCCATTAGCCCTCCGTAATTATAAAAGGATTAAACTTAATGTGTTCTTTACTATCCAGTATATTTACTGAAAACTTGTCTACGACATTTGGAGCTGGTCTTTAACAAATTAAAATAATAATAGACCTACAACTTTACCAATAACAGATAAGAAAATCTAGTTCTAATTTATAAACACATAAAAATTCAACAAACGGAACCCGGTCCCGGCTAAGAAAATGCACTTGCCTTAATTTTAAAGATCAACTGGTAATCATAGTCGTCCGCCACGCCCTCGCGTTGTGAAGCTCATATAAAAGCTCCTAGCGAACTCAACGAGTATCAGTCAACGAGTGGAAATTCTCAATCTATCGCAATGGCCGCTAAGGTGACTATTTTAATAATATCTAGTGAAGTGATATAAGGTTTAGTGATTTCTAGGAATATTTCATAAACGGATTTTTTTCAAAGTGCCATAATTATCATGTATAAATTTTCTTTTTCGTACCTACTACTTTCTTTTCTCATAGTCGCTAATAAGATTATTTTTGATTTATAACTTGAAAAATTACGTCTAAATCTTTAAAGTCTTAAAAAATTAAAGTCTACGGATACGGGACGTATACGGTCTGGTTGTGATCTCAAAGAGTCAATATTCATTGCATAAATGTCTAAATAACCTTTATGCCGGTTTTCAATCCTTTTAACTCATCAGTAAACAATCATATTATCATTTGTAGATGATAGTACTGTGCTGTTGTCTTTTGATCGTTGTATTTCTCTTTTAACCTATATTGTTACCTTCAGTTAATAAAAGTCCTTCTTTCCAGTTCGTCGTAGTTCTCGCCCTCGTGGCTGCAGCTCAATGCTCCGTGGTGCCAGTAGCGCGAGTAGACGCCGACTACACCAGCTTCGCATACGACGTGGCCGACCCCAACACTGGCGACTTCAAGAGCCAGGTGGAGACCCGCGTGGGCGGCAACGTGGCCGGCCAGTACTCGCTGCTCGACGCTGACGGCACCAAGCGTACTGTGGACTACACCGCTGACGATGTCAATGGATTCAACGCTGTGGTGCGCAAGGACCCCGCTGTTGTGGCTGCTGCTCCTGCTGTAGTAGCTGCCGCTCCCGCGGTAGTGGCTGCCCGCACTGTGGCTGCTCCAGCAGCTGTCGTCGCCGCATCTCCTGCAGTTGTTGCTGCTCGCACTGTCGCCGCTCCCGCAGTAGTTACACGTACTTATGCCGCAGCCCCCGCATACTACGCGGCCCGCTCTTACGCCGCTCCTGCCGTCTATGCTGCCAGTGCTCCCGTTGTAGCCGCGCGCACCGTTGCTGCTCCTGTTGCATACACCGCTGGTGCCCGCCTTGCCTATACCGCGGGTGCTCCAGTTGCCTACACAGCTAGTGCTCCAGTAGCGTACGCTGCCGGTGCGCGTTTCGTCGCTCCCTCTGTGTACGCCGCCCGCGTGGCTGCCGCCCCCGCCGTGTACTCTGGTGCCGCCTACTACGGATCTCCTCTGACCTATGCCGCCTACTCCGCTCCAGTCTCGTACTGGTAAACACGATAGCCTATTATGGCTCCACTGCGATTGAATACGACTTGTTCGATTATATTGGACGACATGTAAATATTGTTGCTAGTTTGTACAATGTACATACATCCATGTATAAAATAAACCGAATATTTTAAAGTAACCCGTCTGTGTTTAATTTATTTATTTCGAATTGTGTCACGTCTTTACTATACAGGAGCTATGGACGTGAAGTAAATATAGAGCGTTCTTCAAAAGCGTATGGCCTTGAATAAATTTATTGATGCGCCTACATCATTATTCCGGATATCAATTCCCAATTCAGGATGACAGGGAAAACCAATTATAATCTAGGTGTTAGAAATATGTCGTAACCCAACTATCTTAAAATGTAATAGAGTTCTAATAAAGTTCTAGTGTAACTAAGTTTCTCGAATAAATATTAAAGTCTTTAAAGTGCTTCTCCTCTTTGTATTTTAGTAAGATCAGAGCAGTTTATTTAAACAAATTTATTAGATGAATGTACAGTAATTACATGACTCAGTAGTCAGTCAAAGTCTGACTGGTCTAGTGATCGCTTAAGAAAGCCATTGCAAATCTGAATAATGCAGTAACTAATCTTTAAGGTGTAGTATGAATTTCAGATAATAAATAATATATTGGACCTATGAAATAGACATGAAATAAATCAAATATAAGAAAAAAATATATATAAACATAAAATAAAAGTAAGTTGTTAAAAGTTGTAAAATTCAAAGTCAAGTCAAAAAGTCAAAATCATTTATTCCAATTAGACCAGGATGGCACTTTTGAACGTCAATAACAAAAAAATTTAGAAGGGGAGCTAGTTACTCATTCCAAGGTGTAGATTCCTATGAAGAAGAACGAGCAAGAGACTCCATAGGTTACTCTTTTTCAATCAGGTTTACAATACAATTCTCTAGTTACATAGTTTTGTTGATTCGATTGTGTGAGAATATCAAAACATAACATTCTTTTTTTGACACAAAGGTAAAAATAGCTTGCAACAATTTACCTACATTTACCCCAAAAAGTTCAAAGCTGACAGAGTCGTTGGTCCCCTGTCACCACACTGTCTTATCTTTAAAAGATGTCTACAAAGAAAAGATACGTCTGCCAAGACAATACTATTTATCTTTTATTCGGAAAACGACGGAAACATTTTCTTGCAGGTAAAAGCTAATTTGCAGTGTTTGAAACAAAAACTGTGTGTCGTGGTGGCCCGGAGGTTTAAGACGCCCGCTTCTCATTCATGAGGGTGCAGGTTCGAAACCTACCAACGGCAAGTACCAATGTGACTTTTTTCGAGTTATCTAAGATTATTTAGACACCACTGACAAACGGTCAAGGAAAAACATCGTGAGGAAACCTGGATTTATAATTTCTAATTATAAGTTTGAAATCGCCAACCCGCATTGAGTAAGCGTGGTGATTAATGCTCAAACCTTCTCTGTGTGAGAAGAGGCTTTGCTCAGCAGTGGGCATTTATAGGCTGTTGATGATAATGATGATGATGAAACAAAAATATCTGGTATGATACTAGCCAAGCCACATAGTGACGGACGGTAGAGCATTTATCATCACTCCTACTCTTCATGCAGATGTCTTAGTAACTCATTAGGACATTACCCATGAATCGAGAACAGAGACAGGTTAACAACACTCAGCATGAACTTTTTAGACTGCGATCTCCAACCTACCTTTTCCAAGCATGGAGACTATAGCAAACCCTCTCATGTAAAAGATGCATTTAGTTCAACAATGTACCGTCCCAAATTGTTGACGACATATGATGATAGTTTAAAACATCGGTATTATATTTTCTAAAGAGAGACAGCACCTGTTTCGATAAACATACATAGTAATATTATAAGTTCGGATCCACTCAGTTCCCGGCTATCCTACGGAACACCCTTCAAAAATTTCCAAAATTTTTTTTCATGGTTTATATGGCCGGTAAACGAGCAGACGGATCACCTGATGGTAAGCAATCGGCGTCGCCCATGGACACCTGGACACACACACACACAAGTGCGTAACCGGCTTTTTGAGGATTAGGAGTTTGAGGATCGTTGGGGATTCAGGGATTGGGGAAGGGGAGGGTAATTGGGCCTCCGTTAACCACACTCACACGACGAAATACAACGCAAGCGTTGCTTCACGTCGGTTTTCTGTGAGCCTGTGGTATCACTCTGGTCCAGCCGGCCCATTTGTGCCGAAGCATGGCTCTCCCACAATAAAATAAGAAAACTATCACCATAAAAGTAATATTTAGTGCAAATTTATTTGACTTTTTCACTTTAAGTATCTTATATTCATGGCGATCCATTAAATGGACGCGCACAGGCGAACTTACCCTATAACAATAAGTCATAGTTGAATATAAATTGAAACCATACAATTTCGATAGTACTTTCTGTAAAACTAAAACAATTACGCTGAGTATTACCTCATTCTTTCAGATAATATTGCGTCAAAGAATTAGGTAAAGAGCCTATAGTCGTAAACTGAAGCCTAATTTATACCGGACCTAAACTTAGTTTCCAGCCAGACTTGATTGAAAGACTTTGACCTAGATCGGTTCAAGAATAAAATCTTTAATAAAACCAGTCTATTACAATGAATCAAACTTTTTTTTTGTGATCCATAATATAGGGAGTCGAACTTTTATTAATACATGTTGAGTGTGACTCTAGACTCATTGACGTTGCGCGGAGAACCTAACGGGTTACCGGAGCACCGGCTCGACGTGCAGGAGAAGGAACGGGGTGGTGTTTAGTCAGTAAGAGTCTGATACTCCCTCCCGCCTCACCCAGGCGGGAGCAGTCAATCGAAGATTTTCCCTCTTAAAACAAAAGACTCATTGACATTAAGCTACTATCAAGAATTATAAAAAGATACATTCTCAATAATGCTTTACCTAACCTCAGAATAGAACGAAAGACTCCTTCATGAACAGAAGCGCTTAAATATTTATAGAGGGGCAAACGAACAAAAGGATCAGCTTTTGGTAAATGAACAACCGTCACACCAATAACACAGTAATAGTCTCAAGAAGACATACATAAAATGGTATTAATATTCAGAGCGAATTTTTATTAAGACTGAGATAGGTATTTACAACATAAAGAAAGCAAAAAATAAATAAATATGTACAACTTAAGATTCCTTTTAACTAAAAGATAAAAATTAAATAAAAGAAAAATAAACGTAAACAAATATTTTTTTTCAAATAAACTTTTTTAAATTAACAATCTGATTGGCTAAATGGTGTCCAACATTTTTTTACCTCTTGATGAGGTTGAACCTACGATGAACCACTGACATCATAATCTCAAAGCTCGACATAATTCGCGCTAAATAGGAACTTAATTACCAAATTATTTGAATTCTAGTAACATTTTGTTTATCGTCTCACCCAAAACTCGTTCTAATTGCGACAAGGTGGTCACGTCATCATAATCCGGCCTATATCTCAAGTTCGTCAAGTGACCGCGCGTCGGCGGCAGGACCGCGGTATATAAGCTCGCTCGGTATGTGCAGCGTATCATTCGATCAGTGAAGTACTTCAGGATCAGCAATGGCAGCCAAGGTAGGTTGTCTGCTCTATATTTGTATTGTTTGATGTTCATATGAGATGAAACAACTCTTCAATGTTTTTTCTACAGTAAATTCGAATCATTGGTCAACGTCCTAGTTTTATGTCATTCATATGTATTTAAGATTTTGTGTTCCCATTTCCAAATTGAATTTCTTTGGGAAACAAATAAAACTGTATTTTGTTCTGTATTTCAATCACCACTTTTATTTCAGTTCGTAGTTCTCGCCGCCCTAGTGGCCATGGCTCACTGCTCCGTAGTGCCAGTGGCGCGAGTAGACGCCGACTACACCAGCTTCGCATACGACGTGGCCGACCCCAACACCGGCGACTTCAAGAGTCAGGTGGAGACCCGCGTGGGCGGCAACGTGGCCGGCCAGTACTCGCTGCTTGACGCTGACGGCACCAAGCGTACCGTGGACTACACCGCTGACGATGTCAACGGATTCAACGCTGTAGTGCGCAAGGACCCCGCTGTAGTGGCTTCCGTGGTGGCTGCCCCCGCTGTGGCCGCGCCCGCTGTGATCGCCGCCCGCACTGTGGCCGCTCCCGCTGTCTACGCCGCTCACGCTGCTCCCGCTGTCTACGCCGCCCACGCTGCTCCTGCTGTCTACGCCGCGCACGCCGCCGCCACCGTGTACGCCGCTCACTCCGCTCCCGTCTACGCCGCGCCCTCTTTCTACTCGTACGGTGCTCCCGCCCTGTACTCCGCTCCCCTCACTTACGCCGCTAAGTGGTAAACAATGACGCGTGTTGTGGTTGCGATGTGGTGCTGCCTTGTAAATAAATTAATTTAAGTAAAAAGTGAAACTACCCCATTTTGTTGTTTTCTTTTTTTTCAATAGTTATTGATACACAATTGATACACAATACACACTATAGATTACATAAGTTGCTTAAAATATGAAGAATATTTACTGTGCTATAAATCATAACACACTGTCGATTAGTAAACTCTGTCGACAATGAGATAAATAAGTCAAATTGTTAGTTATAATTTATGATGTAAGTGACAATGTAAATAAAAAAACGAAATCATTTCCATCTCAATCAGACCAATGTTTTGATTCAGACCTTCACAATAAATAAAAATAATCATTTATTATTCATTAAGCTTCACTTTTAACCTTGTCATTATACGTCTTTCATCGGGAAATAAGTTTTATCTTCCTTTGATATTGATAGTTATAATTAAAATAAAGATCAACTGCCGGACTTGAGGAAGTTATGACGACAACTACAATCATTATTTACTTATTCAGTGCAAGTGGTTAAACTGGTTTCATTGATTTCTTTAAGCTACTGTTGTTGTGCTGAATGATCGACCTATAGGCCACAACTTTATTCTTTGTATGATACTTATTTTGGGCTACTTTTTATTATTTATATTCTTTGGGAACATTTGTTTTATATTTAAAAATAACGGCTAATTTTTGATGTAAATGATAAAAGCTATACTATGTAGTTTTTAGTCTGAACCAAACTCTCATTTATAAATAGTAAAAGCAATTACTTTCAATGTATTTAGTATGCCTCACGATAGTTTTTATATAGTAACTTTGTCTATATAGTCTATATCTTGTTTTATATAGTATTAAGTCGAACGCCGTACCAGCGTTTGGACACTATTATACCTAAATTAACTAAAATCGCAGGTTACTCACGTGAATATACTGAGAAAAGCTCTACTAGTTTCCAACCACAGAGGGTTCTTCCTCATGATCAGCGTGCGCGGTCGCGGCGACGTCGCGTAGCTCACTGATTCTCAGTATGTTCACGTAAGTTACCCGCGATTTTAGTTAATTGACTGCCTCATTGGCCGAGTGGTCGCAAGTGCGACTGCCGGACAAGGGGTCTCGGGTTCGTTTCCCGGGTCGGGCAAAGTATTACTGGGTTTTTATAAATCTCAGTAGTAGCACGGAGTCTGGAAAAATGTGCCCGGTATATGGCAATAGGCTCACGCCCTATTACATGGGACTCATAACATAAACAGTGAAAAGTGGGTGTTACATTGTACAGTGGCATTAAGTGCCGAAATGTGCACCTCTGCCTACCTCTTCGGGGATAAAAAGGCGTGATGTTATGTTATGTATGTCTCACGATAGTTATTATAAAAACTATTATACCTGGGAGAAAACGGTGGCACGGCCTACAATGGAGAATGCCTGCCCATAAGTAACTTATTCATTTGAGTCTTGATAACACCCAAACGATGCCGATGATGATTTAGAGAAGAATAGTAAATAATGTCTAGCTCGCCCAACATGTTGAAAAATATCAAGAAATTCGTTCGAATTTTGATTGTATTTTTTCTTTTATCATCATAACATCACGCCTTTTATCCGCGAAAGGGTAAGTAGAGGTGTATATTACGGCACCTAGTGTCATTGTACAATGTAACACCCATGCACTTTTCACCATTTATGTTATGAGGGGCACTTAATGCATATTGTACAATGTAACACTCACTTTTCACTGTTTATGTTATGAGGCCCATGTAATAGGGGGTGAGTCTATTGCCATATATCGGGCACAATTCCAGACACCGTGCTACTATTTTGTTTAAATACCCAGTAATATTTTGCCCGACCCGGGAATTGAACCCAAGACCCCTGCCCATCAGTCGCACTTGTGACTACTCGGCCAACGAGGCAGTCTTTTTCTTATTAGTCAGTACTTTTTCTTAGAATATCAATAAACTAGCGACCCACCCCGGCTTCGCACGGGTGCATGTACATATTATATATAAAAACCTTCCTTAAAAATCACTATATCTAGTAAAAAACCGCATCAAAATCCATTGCGTAGTTTTAAAGATCTAAGCATACATAGGGACAGGTAGACGGTGGATAGCGACTTTGTTTTATACTATGTAGTGAAGGTTCACGTTTCTTGATAATAATTTATTTACTATACGTAACTTACCGCATAATTACTGGAAGTACAAAACAAGATTCCGGTGGTAGGTGTAGTACGTTTGTCCTAGAGGTCGGTCAATCACAGCAGAACGCGTCGGCCAGTCGGCTTCCTTGTACATACATACAACTAATTTCATAATAATAAGATTAAGTTGCATATTATGTACGTATTTTTATTTAAGCTTTTTACCTACGTATCCTACGATCCTTTTTTTTATGACATAAAAAGTAAACGAGCAGACGGATCACCTGATGGTAAGCAATCGGTGTCGCCCATGGACAACCGGAACACCAAAGGCGTTACAAGTACGTTACCGGCCTTTTGGGGATTTTTTTTTTTTTTTAAGGGGGGAAAATCATCGAATGACTGCTCCCGCCTGGGTGAGGCGGAAGGGAGTGTCAGACTCTTACTGACTAAAAACCACCCCGTTCCTTCTCCTGCACGTCGAGCCGGAGCCCCGGTTACCCGTTAGGTTCTCCGCGACTCCGAATCGGCATCGGCCCTATTGGGCCCCATCTGTGGTGGTCTGATGGCTCTTTGAGGCGCGCGCGGAACGCGACGCGCCGTACGCTCAGGTCTGTTTCTGGTCGGACGGGGAGCCACCCATGCTCGCCGTCCGCAGGCCCGCGCTTACGGTGGCCGGAGATCGTCCCGCGATCCCCGACGCCCGGTGTGTCCTTCGCGATGGCTGGGTTGCGAGGAGGCAGCGCTTCGCTGCCTCACGCGTCCCGCCTCCTCCTTAGCTAGCATGACTGCTTCGCAAAGGAGGAGACGGCATCCCAGTCCCCCTCGCTCCGCATCATGGCCTGCACTAGGCCCGGACGCGAGAGGTCGCCATCGCCGATCACTTCCCTGAGGGCACGGCGGTGCTCAGCCCACGCAGGGCATTCTCCCACTGTGTGTTCCACCGTGTCCTCAGGGCGGTCCTCGCAGTGATGACACCCGGGCGTTTCCTCCCGCCCCATCAGACACAGGTACCTCCCGAAACTTCCATGTCCGGTGAGGACCTGCGTCAGGCGGTAGGTGAGGACGCCGTAGCGTCTCTCAAGCCACTCCTCAAAGAGGGGACTTACCGCTGCAATGGCAGCGAGCCCAGCCCTCGGTTGCGACAGTCGTTGCTGCCATTCCGCCATGAGATCGCGCCGGAGCTCATCCCGCCACGCACTTATCTGGCGCGGCAGCGGAATTTCGCCCCGGCGACGTGCCTCCGCGCGCATGTTATACACGCGCGCGAGCACCTTCGCCTCCAGATCCCACGGCGGTAATCCGGCAAGGAGGTTCGCCGACTCCCCAGAGATCGTGTGGTATCCGCGGATCATTCGGATCGCCATGACCCTCTGTGACATGAGCAGCGTCCGAGCAGGACGCCGCAACAAGTTCGGCGCCCAAACAGGGGCGCCGTAGAGGGCCATGGACCGCACGACCCCGGAGCCTTTTGGGGATTAGGAGTTTGAGGATCGTTGGGGAAATTCTAACAATAACTGACCTCGATCGGTAGATTATATCTATGGATTTTTGATATTTTGTATCAATTTCGATCAATTGAAAACATCTGCCATTTCGGCCAATAACGACGAGTTGCATTTATTGTTGAGTCATCTTGTCAGTTTATAAAAAAGTTATGAGAATCAGAATCATTTTCTGTGGTTCTCTAAAGTCCAAAAGACAGGAGCCACAAAGGATCTTGATTGTAAATTAAGTACCTAATTATATACGCATTAGTTTTAAATTCTTATAAGACGTATGATATGCACCATGTATAAGAAATTTGGAAAATGAAAACAACAAAATAAGGTAGTTTCACTTTTTACTTAAATTAATTTATTTACAAGGCAGCACCACATAGCAACACAACACGCATCATTGTTTACCACTTAGCGGCGTAAGTGAGGGGAGCGGAGTACAGGGCGGGAGCACCGTACGAGTAGAAAGAGGGCGCGGCGTAGACGGGAGCGGACTGAGCGGCGTACACGGCGGGGGCGGCGTGCGCGGCGTAGACAGCAGGAGTGGCGTGAGCGGTGTAGACAGCGGGAGCGGCGTGAGCGGCGTAGACAGCAGGAGCGGCAACAGTGCGGGCGGCGATCACAGCGGGCGCGGCCACAGCGGGGGCAGCCACCACGGAAGCCACTACAGCGGGGTCCTTGCGCACCACAGCGTTAAATCCATTGACATCGTCAGCAGTGTAGTCCACGGTGCGCTTGGTGCCGTCAGCGTCGAGCAGCGAGTACTGGCCGGCCACGTTGCCGCCCACACGGGTCTCCACCTGGCTCTTGAAGTCGCCGGTGTTGGGGTCGGCCACGTCGTATGCGAAGCTGGTGTAGTCGGCGTCTACTCGCGCCACTGGCACCACGGAGCAGTGAGCCATGGCCACTAGGGCGGCGAGAACTACGAACTGAAATAAAAGTAGTGATTAAAATACAGAACAAAATACAGCTTTATTTCTCTCTCAAAGAAATTCAATTTGAAAGTGGGAACACTAAATCTAAAATACAACAAGTTAATGGCATAAAACTAGGACGTTGACCAATGATTCGAATTCACTGTAGAAAAACATTGAAGAGTTGTTTCATCTCATATGAACATCAAACAATACAAATATAGAGCAGACAACCTACCTTGGCTGCCATTGCTGATCCTGAAGTACTTCACTGATCGAATGATACGCTGCACATACCGAGCGAGCTTATATACCGCGGTCCTGCCGCCGACGCGCGGTCACTTGACGAACTTGAGATATAGGCCGGATTCTGACGAATGAGATAGGGTCGCCATATTTGGAAACTGCCAAAGTGGGCGAAAGCATAACACGAGTAGAACAATAGATGAAATGTACGTTTTATAGTCCAGTCGTGTACTTGTATAGTCGTTACTTTTGGATTTACATATGATTTTATATTTTTACATGATTGTTTCGTAAGATTAGGTACCTATTTATAATTCTGTACGGAGTAAAATATAATTATGTACCTATGTAACTTTAGCAGTCTCTTTTGGGTTTTGTAACTATGTAGTTCAAAAAGGCAAAAGTTTCCCAAGTACATATATGCACATACATATATTTTAAATTATGTACCTAAATTGAAGGTACTTACCAAGCTTTCTACCTGTTCTAGAACAGACAATTTCATAGTCAATAACTTTAATTATATTAGCAATAGGAGTATCCATAGTAACTAATATCAAATTAACTAAAAATCTACTAGTTTCAAACCACAGAGGGGTTCTACGCGCAGCCACAGTACAGCTTACTGTATTAGGTACCTAACATAACCATGCAGGTATACACTTTTGAACAATCTTCTTATTTTGGTCAGCCCTACTCGCCAAGTACAGTAATGAAATCCTTAAAAAAATTATATGTATTTGAATATTTTAACACCTACTGGTATTACCAGTTCATTACAAACACAAGCGGGGAGGAGTCGATAGAGGAGTCGAAGTAAAAAAATGGCACTTACCTATGGTAATCATTATTTATAACTACATATTAATTTATGTTCAATGTTATACCTACTGACTCAGCAAGATATTCAAACTCTTTATTAAATTTAAAAGTATTACTGGGTTTTTAAAATTCTCAGTGGTAGCATGGAGTCTGGAATTGTGCCCGGTATATGGCAATAGGCTCACCCCCTATTACATGGGACGCATAACATAAATAGTAAAAAGTGGGTGCTACATTGAACAGTGGCTTAAGTGCCGTAATGTGCACCTCTGCCTACCCTTTCGGGGATAAAAGTCGTGATGTTATGTTATGTATTAGATTTTCAACTGAATTACATACCTAATGGTAATTATAAAGTCGAAACTGTATCAAAGAATTTTGACTAATGGCGTAAGTTGATATGCTGGTCTATCTTTACTATGTACTAAAATTCTTTCAAGTTTTCCTTATATTTAGCAAAAAATGCAATTAAATGATTTAATTTGATTTTGTTTAATAGCATTTTTTACATCGGCTTGTAAATGTCAAAACAGAAACTGGGTCAGTTGTAATGAATTTGGGTTCAGCGTAAATAAGACCATTAAACACGTAAGTATTATGAGATAACAATAAATGAAAAAAAAAAACTAAACTGAATTCTGTCAATCAAGTAGGTCGTCCCATTGGAAGAATAAAGTGTTATAATCACATGTGTCAAAATTCATATTTTGGTAAATTCGTCATCCTTATAATGTAAACTATCGATTGATACTATTTTTATTTATTTTTATCCATTAATTCAAAAGATACAATGCTCGAATAAAGTTTTATCCGCGCCGACTACGTAAAATAACTACGCATGATCACATACAAAAATATTCTCCGCCTTGCTCCCGCGCAATTAGCTGCGCGTGCCGTGTCACTTCATCCTAAGGAACGTTGTTCGACGAAGTAGCAGCGAGTGGTGTTTTTTACGATGAATACCCAAAATTTGATAAAATTTGTTGCATATAATGGTTTGATACAATTTACACGACGTTTTATTAATTTCCCACAAAGACAGTATTTACAATCACATAAAACATTGTTTTACGAAATACCAAAGCTTACTTATTAGAACTTAAATCTGAACTAAATATTTTAATAATAACTTATATAACATTACGGTATCTAATAGCACTTGTCTTATTTTTTCCCCTATTTTTCCAGTTTCTTATAAACTTAGTACATTTTACTACGTAAAATATTTTATTTTTTTCGTCCGCAAGTACACATGAAACATTATTCTACAAGAAAAATAATTAAAGTGGGTGCCATATGTGCAAATGACACATTTTTTTACCAACGGTTTTATTATAAAACAATATTCGAAATCTTAAAATTGCTATAAAATGGTTAAATTTAATTTAAAATATGAACAGCTTATTCAATAATCTATTAACAACTAAATGTACCGTTTAGACTAGGTAGGTACAGCAAAAAAGTAATTAATATAAGTTTACATTGAAAATACCAAGGGACGCGGGCACTCTTGTGTTTAGCACAAGAGTGCCCGCGTCCCTTTTTTGACATGTTTGCTTGCGTGCTCCTCTGTATTAGAAAAATCGAAATAGTTTATTTTACAAAAAAGTGACCACAGTAGACCACTTGAGCGCTCATCAAATTACACATATCTAAATTATGTACGTACATTTATTTTACTGAGATTTTTGTAACTATTATGTTATGCATAAACTCCTTGTTACTTTTACAGAATCAAAGGAAAATAATTATATCCAACATAATTTTATTTTTAATTTTATTATTAAATTTTTGAATGATGATTTCTCAAACGATGAGGAAGCAGCAGGGAGCAGGGGCTCAATGGATGAGTTTGTGGTACCAGTGGAACAGACGACCTTTGAGCTGGAATTTGCATTAAGTAGGGAATATGAAATAAAGTACACCGCCAAGACGAAAAACAGATGTTTAAATCGGGATACACCAAAGAATTGCAATTTAACTTATAAATATTATAACGAGCAAGCGACGCAATACGCGACAAAACTATAGTTAAAACTGCATGAGATAAGTACTGCAACAGCACTATCGCAGAAGACGATTACAGAGACCGCCACAACAATTAAAGGAAGGCGATTGTAGAAGACATCATCACTAGCGTTTGTGACCATGTGAACTCATTTGCATCTATCCAATCACATTATTTAAGAAAAAAGACGACAAAATGATATCTAGACGGTAGTATATTGTACGAATGTACAAATTTCAACAGAGTTGCACTCAAATAGGTTCAGTATTTTAAGCGATAGATTGTCCCAGATTTTTAATGCTGAGTATCCCGTAGGATTTCCAAAATACAACAATCATAAGTCCTTTCCAGTGCCAGTGAACTGTAAACCAAATTTCAATCAAGTACGTTCAGTGGTTTAAAAGATAGAGTCCTGAGATATAGCACATATTCTAATTCTGGGACTTCCGGGTTATTACTTTGGTACTTATAATGTGGCCTGATTTGTACCGGTGAGACGCTACTAATTAATATACTATTACCTAAACGAGACGGGCAAACTTTCATAGTAAATTTGAGCTCGACGGACTAAAAATTACTTTTGAAAAATGAAATACTACGAGTTTTCAAGGACTAATACTACTATTTAACTGCATTAGGATCAGGGATTTTCTAATTCAATGAACTGAATACGTTATTTTCATGGACTCGCTTCTGCCCAAGGTTTTGCTCGCGCTCTTTTAAAGGATTGGGGATAGGTCTCAAAAAGAAAAAAAAAGCATTTGCTTTTACAGTTTTCTATTGGCAGTCAATAGCTTAAGCAATATTTATGGTTGCTTTTTCACAAATAGGGTTACATTGTCGAAATTTCCACACGGTTCTCTTCTTTTTCTCATCAAGGGTGTAGTATGTAAGATTCCAACGCTAAAAGATTTTTTTAAATCGGTTACGTAATTTCGGAGCCTATTCAATTCAAACAAACAAAAAATTAAATCTTTCCTCTTTAGTAGACTAGTAGTTAGTATATTGTTTGTTCTTTAGTTTAGTGTTTTCGGAATATTTGATATACTTAATTGTTTTCTATGTTTGAGACTAATTATTGATTTTTATTATATCCACAATGATGCCATGATTATTTATTGTGTTATTTGCAAAGTATCCAAAAAGACTGACTTTAAATTTAATTGAGTTACTAATGTGATATTATTTCATCTAATAATAAGAATAAATTCGTAATTTATGAAATAATGTGTTTGAGTATTGATTATTACTAATCATGTTTTTATTATTAAGCTAACTTTATATTATAGTTATATAGGACTGATTTATTCATAAGCATAACCACGGAAAGAAATAAGTCAATAGTTAGTTTTATTGTAAGAGCATTATTCTGTTTTTCTGTCACCTATTTTAATAATTTTATAATAGTCAAATGTATTCCTCAAAGTGTATGTAATCAGTTTGTATTTATTTTTAATTTAATCGTATATTGATTACTACATTGACTAATAAATTGATTAATAATACACCAACATTTTTAAATATATAAAAATACCCAGTAATAATGATGAATTTAAAACCTATTCTACTTTCTTAGTATAACAATTTCATATAAAACACGGATACAACCGCGAAAATTCGTAAAATAATGTTTGATATGCCAATGTATCGTGAATAGTTTCGTCGAATATTGTTTTATGTAGTCTTAAGACACCTCATTCAATATTTTTTTTGGCAAAAGAACGTTGTATGTGCACATGCGACCCATTATACTTGGAAAGGCATAGTTTATAAAATAAATAATTATATTATCATAAACGGTATGCACTTCTGTGCATACTGTACAAATATTAAGTAGCTAGTATAATTTATAACAGATTTATAAGCAAATATGTGCGCGCGAAATTTATAATCGCTCTACTGAAAAGTCGACAATTTGCAAATAGAACATTATTCTACTAATGGGACGGTACATTACTCGTCCCTAGAATTGTATAGTTATTTCCAATGATCTTACGATTAATGGCAATACGCTCACCCCCTATTACATGGGATTCATAATATAAATAGTGAAAAGTGGGTGTCACATTGTACAATGGCATTAAGTACCATAATGAGCACCTCTGCCTAACCCTTCGGGGTCGACGGATTACTGGGGCTCCGGCTCAACGTGCAGGAGAAGAAACGGGGTGGTT